GTTGAAACTAATTGCTTAGGGACTTTAAAATGCATTAGATGCTTTGCAAACTCATCAGATTTAAAAAAGCAGTCATTATCTGTAGTTAAGATTTGAATATATATAGACCCCAAGATTTGAATCTTTAAAGCCTAGATTAAACTCTTCCACTAGAGAGTTGATTTTCCAAGAAATTCTAAGATTTAGGCTAATTTTCCTTGTGTAATCTAAGAGTTGAATATTGGAATGGAGAGTCAACTATCTGCCTCAAAGAATCAAATTTTCACATGAAGATTTCGTTTTGCCTTGCATCTCAAAGACTCTAAACTTTTTGGAATCTTGAGTCAAATCTTCCCAACCATTAGAGTTGAATAGTGCTAGTCCAAGATGCGAATAGGCCTTTGAAGAGTAAACTCTTCCTCTATTTAGATCTTTACTTCATTTTTAGCTTTAGAGTCAAATATGTAGTGTAAGTAATGTTTTTAAACTTAAACTAGAGGTCAAACCATTTTGACCTCTAGTTCAACAATTTAACCTCTGGTTCACAATTTGAATGGTTTAACCGGTTTAATTGATAAAACCATTAGGTTGATTAAAATACTATAAATATATTATTATGCAAAAAGTTTCACACAATGCCAATTGGTTATAGTGGTAGGTAACTGATTTATTATAAAAGAGATCACAGGTTCGAATCCCCTTGAAAATAAACTTTAATATAATGATGCTTTTAAAAAGAGAATAAATATTTTGCAAAGCATAGATGTTCAAGTCCCATTGAGAATAGACTTTAATATAATGGTGCTTTAAAGATAGAATAAATATATTATAAAGCATAAAGTTACAAATAAAAGGTTGTGTATCAAGTGGAAGAATCTTTGTTGTATAACATGGAGAATAGGTGTTTGATTCTCAAGGTTGTCATCAATAATTTGATTAAAATTTTTGAGATTTGTATGAGATAAATAAAATTTCAAGCATCTAATGACGCAAGAATTGCATTGTTTTGGTGGAAAAGGATTAGAGTAAGGGCTTTAAAGTTGCAAGTTCAAACCCTGCGAATTCTCGAGACTTTATACCCAAGCATTGAATCGTTTGGTCAAACAATTCATCGATTTGAGCAGTTTCAAATGGTTTAACCATTCAAATGGTTTTAAAGATATATTCGAACTGTTTATATTATCAGGTATTGGTTCAAATGGTTTTAAAGATATATTCGAACTGTTTATACTATCGAGTACTGATTCAAATGGTTTTAAAGATATATTCAAATTGTTTATACTATTGGGTATCGGTTCAACAATCTAACTGTTTGATCTGGTCTAGTTTTCAAAACTTTGAGTGTAAGAATCAAATCTTCTTGTTTCAAAAGTCAAATATAGGATTTTCTATTCTACTTTTAATATTATTTCTATAGTTTTTCCATATTTCTCTTTGATGCATTTCGAAGTTTTTCAATTGTGTATTTAATTCAAAATCCATTAAATATCTTAAGAAATTTTGTTATCATCAAAATCACTATGAGTTCAACATTTTTTACGTTCAACTTTAATATTAGCTTTTTCATTTCTTTTTCCTTTTGTTATTTAATGTGTTGGTAATTAATTTTCTTATTTAGCAAGAATTTGTTAAATCATACTTAAAAATTAATTAATGAAAAAGTTTGTAATTTTTACCTTATATTTAAAAATAAGAAATTAATTTCTCTACTAAAAGATATAACAAAGTAATTTTGGTTTGTTATGCATGCATAATAATAACAATAACAATAACAATAAACTCTTTTAGTGGTAAAAATAATTAATTACTTTTTGAATTTGTCCTTATTCTAATGATGCTAAGCAATAATAATTAATTATTTTATAACTAAATCAATTACTTTTTAAATTTATTCTTATTCATCATTTGATGCTAAATAGTAATAATTAACTATTATATAATTAAATAATTATTTAATCTATATATATTGTGTATTACCACTAATCTATCATCCATTACCTGTCACCAGTAATTTCTATCTATTAGATTTCAACCTCCATAACAACAAACCTTTAAATAATAAATATTTTTTTATACTTTAATTATATTGCTATTTGGGAATTTAATTATCCATTTTCTTACAAAAATTTTCTCTTTAATTTTTATCTCTTTTTTAAAGGAAGAGGTAAAAAAATTTGTCTTTAATTTCTCAAGGAAAAACTATTGTTAGTTCAAACTACACAGCAATGACGGTTAAATAAAGGCTGGACTCTTTAATATTGAGAGCCTTCCTCTATCCAACCATCCATGTTTATAATTTGGTGCCATTTAAATTACAAAATAAATAACTCATTTCTTAATGTAAGGATAAATTAATAGATTAGAGGGTTAAGGCCATCTATCGTCCCTCTACTATCCAAAATAGTGCATTCTAAACCTTCTACTATGAATTGGCTTCATGTCGTCCCTCTACAATGTAAAAGCATGCATTTGTCGTCCCTCTACAATGTGAAAACATGCACTTGTCGTCCCTCCATCCAATTAAGCTAACAGTTGTGTTTGTTGACTGTTAAGTGCCAACGGTCACACTCGGTTAGGCCCTTTTTTTTTTTTTGCCACCTTGCTTTGTGGGTCCCACCCTAGTGCGTCCAATTAGTCAATTACCCTTAATATTGATTTCTATAAAAAAAACAAGAATGAGTAAATTTAGTACTTATATAATGTAGAAAATCAATGAAAAGCCTATAAGGTGGTGAACTAAAAGATTCTACTTCAACTTTCTAATTAATAGGAAGCTGATTTCAAGGTATTTATTAGTTAAATATTTTATATATATTAGCCATGATATAATGATCAACTAAAGAAGAATTACCAGATAGGAATTACCAGATAGAGAATCTTCAATATGTGAGACTAAAAGGAAAAAAAACAAAAATGATCTTCAATAAAATATTGAATGGATGACAAAATAAATAAATAATAAATATTGCATCTTTGGGCAGATTCTACCCTTCCTCACATAAAAATGTTTATTTGTTTATTTATATATTTGATGAAGCTCACATAAAAATGTTGGTTTTTCCTTTTCTTTTTTTTTTAATTTTTCTCCTTTTACTATCAATTGTTTCTCCCATTGCAACTTTATGTTTAAAGGTTCTCCACTTCAATATGTGTTGCTTTATGGAAGGCAATACGAGGTATGGTAAAAGTTTAGTTATTGAGGATTGATAGACCCTTATGCTTAAATGATTAAGAGGCTAGAATACTTGCCCTCGTTATTTGCATAATTGATTTTCAGGTTTTAACCCCTTGAAATTTCTTTTGTAATATACTTTCTCCAAAAGCTTCTTAACCTTCTCCATTCTCCTTGAAGGTGCTTACACGATTTTAATTAGGTAATTTCAGGTCCAAATTCAAATTTATACTAATAGTAGAGGCTTATTTTCAAAAGGAATACCAAAGATACACCAAAGATTTTCCATTCTCCAGATTGTTTCTATAAGTAGATAAGTTAATTTCATTTTGAAGGATTTTTTAATATTTTCTTTCACACATTGCA